TTTAAAAATTTTTTAGAAGACCAACAAAGAAGTGAAAGTAGGTAAAAGTAAACTATTTGATTAAACAAAAGAGTGTGGCTTTAGAGAAACAAGATTTTTTATATAAGAGTATTATCTGCTATTTATCTTGTATAATAATACTTCTGGCTTGTACGCCAACTGTTTTTTTAGAGAAGTTTTATAAAGCAAATATTAACCTCTAAACAAACTGCTAGATGGGCTACAATTTTTTAACAAAAATTTTGGTTTTTTATTAATAGGAGTTTTTGGTTTTAGTGATCAAGATAAATAATTTAATGTATTGATTTTATATTAATAAAGAAAAACCTTATTATATTTGTGCATAATAATGCACAGATATGTATTATTTTGAGACTTTGTATGTTATTTCGGAATATATATAGGTTATAACTTTGACCTTTTTTCTTTTGTTTTTTCTATTTTTTTTTTTTTATTACTTTTATATCATTAGTGCATATTTTACTTTCTTTTTATATTTTTCTTTATTTTTGTTTCACTTTTTTTCTTTTCTGTATTTGTTTTTTTTAGATTATAAGTTGTAGATAGATTATAAGTTAGTCTTTCTACCAAGATTTAAGTAGGAAAAATTTAAAGAAAAGAGGTAGTTATAATAGGCTAGTAGATCCCGGCTAGTAATTTGTAGATTTAAAATCTGAGGTGGATCTAGAAGAAGCAAGAAGTCTGCTTCTGCTTTTGACAAGTCATATTAAAAACCAGGTGAATCACACTTTAGTATAAAATGGCATTGGTTATAACTTAGATAATTAATTATAACTTCACTCATACAAATTGCTTTTTCTAATATTTTAAGTAGTAAAGTTATAGTATGATTGCTTTAAAAATATATATATATATATTAAATTATTACAATAATATTAAATACTATTAATAGTTGTTTTATTCTTTATAAACTGAAGCTATATTTTTATACCAGGTAGGTAAAAAGTTTCTGAACAGGCCCTTTTTTACAATTTCTGCTTATAGTAATTTTTTTTTGTACTATTTAGTAATTAACAAAAAGGTTTTTGTTATATCTTTAATTTATATAGAGCTTTAATCCCTCATTTGGGGCTTTACTCTTTGCTGGAGGTTTTGCTAGGAGTTTTATTATCTAACTATACTACAAACTGTACCAAAATAAGAAGTATAAAATTAATGATATATAATAATAAAATAAATATAATACTATATAATTAAAAATAAAATTTTAAGCATATGTAATACTGGCTTAAAATTTATTTATATGTTATCTTTATAAGTATACTTTTTTTAAGTACATACTATTAAAGGTTTTTCTAGTAAGGTGTATTTAGAAAGGTCATACTATATTTTGATTAACAATAACCATTATATTTACAAACTAAAGAAAGATAAAAATAAAGAATAAGTATTAATAATTTTAATAAAATATTCTTGATATAGTGAGGCTTCTCTAAATACATCCTACTGAGACCAAACTTTAACATTGTATACTTAGAAAGCAATAAAAAAAAGTAAACTTATAAAGTAAGTATCTGGGGCCAGAATTTGAAAATGCATATAGAAAAATATTTAGAAGCATTTAGGATGTATTTAAAGAAATCTATTTTTTAAAATATAATAAAGTAATATGAATAAATATTTATAATTAATGGCTCATTTAAATATAGTAAAACCTCTCTAAATGCACTCTCTCAAATTCTGGCCCAAATATATACTTTAGTTTATAAATGTATTTTTTTTTTATTGTTCTCTAAATTCGTGCTGTTAAAGGTTTGTCTTGATTTCACTTTAAGTTTGTAAAACTGGCATAGTAGATGATCGACATGTGACATAGATCTAGCCAATTGGATACGATTTTTGTACCCAACTGCTAGATAATAATGAGCGCTAGTTTCTATAATTTTGCAAATCCATATAGTATAATTTTAAAAATTGGCTTGTACTATTCCTTACACCGTCTAGTAATTGCAGACAAATTTGCAAAATGCAAATACCCAATTATCTTAGTCAAATATTACAGGGTTGATTCTAATTTACTAAAAGTCTGATGTGAAATTAAGTTCTAACAATCATCTATGATATTTAAACTATATTGAGCATCTTGAAATGTCATATAGTTTCTAGAGGCCCCAAAAAGTAAGCAACAAATCTAGAAAACACAAGGGCTAAATGCCACTAAAAATAATATTGGTAAAAAGCTTTTAAATAGTAGATTCATTTTGCTTATGATACTATATATCTCTAAATTATAACTTATATATGATCTGCGCAAAAAAGTGCACTTTGTCAAAAAGTCACAGACAAATTTGCCTGTAAGACGGTGTAAGGGATACTGATATACTATACTGATCTCATAGGTAGACATTTGTATGATTGGCTGTTTAAATCAATTTAATTTTACATTATTTATACAGTTTAAAGTACTTTAAAAAAAAAAAGAAAACTATGAAGAATAAACAAAAAAGAAGTATATAAAAAGTTTTAATAAGGTTGTAGGACTTCACTATTAAAAATAATCAAAATTCTTTTTTGTTTTAGAGAAATTAGCACGGCGATAACCTAATTTTAAGAAGTCATTATTATGCTAACTTTTCTAAAACAAAAAAGAATTTTGATTATTTTTAATAGTGAAGTTCTACGACTCTAATAAAACTTTCTATATACTTCTTTTTTGTTTATTCTTTGTAGTTTTCTTTTTTTTTTAAAAGTACTTTAAACTGTATAAATAATGTAAAATTAATTTGATTTAAACAGCCAATTATATATGAATGTCTGCCTATGAATACTGATCTGCTATAATTTCACCTGCGTATTACTACTTTGATTCCATTGACCAAATCTGTTGATGATTATCATTATCGTATCATCATATTATATTTTATATCACATAAAATGTTTATTTTGTTTTTCTTTAGCACTTGTGTTAAGTCATAATGCTGATCAATATATTATATATATATATTATAAATCAGAAGTTTCAAGTTAAAATAGAAGAATTGAAAAGAGGTTTAAGCTTCATACAAATTCTTTGGCAAATCCACTGTCCCAATGCTATTCTTTAAGAACTCTATAGGGGAGACTATAAACTTAATGAATCAGATAATACCTATATAAAGCACTATGAAATAAATAATAAAAAAGCAAAAGGAGTATCCTGTTTTGTGCCTTTGGAAACACTTCACAATGTCTCTAGTGAAAGACTCAATAACTTAGAAATCCCATATTATTTCCTTCCTGAAGGATTAGATCTCCTCAAAGGGTTGGCTTTGATTTATACACATTGTATAAAACTCCGGTTTCCATCAGGTGATCAAGGTGGGCTACATTTCGTTATTGCACCTACAATGCATATAAAAAAAGAGCAGTATATACAAACGGTGAAAGAGTTAGATTGGCAATTGTGTATGATCAAAGCTTCTGTGGAGATGGACGAGTTAATATCTCATGATGATGACTTGGAGGGTGTTGAAGACTTTCGAATGAATGAGCTATACTGGCTTATGGAAATTTGGCATACACAAACAACAAATGCAATGGATCATCTTCACGCTAATGATATTCACACATGGATTTTATTAGACAAACCATCTTTTCAAGATCTTCTTTAGCATGAACCTCGTATCTACATCGTGTTTTCTATTCTTGCTCATATAAATTTAAATATATCTACAACACATGTAATGGAATTGATATATCTGGGTGATATTTTAGAAGAACTTGAAGATGCTTTTAAGTGGAAAAAATCAGAGTTTTGTGCAGTAAATATTAACTAAGTTGGGAATTTTTATTTTATCAAATTTTCTATTTTTTGTATACTTATAAACATTCAGCAAACAAGTGAAAGTATAAGCATTTCTACAGACGTTAAAAAGTGAAATTGAGAATACATTACTAGTTTTTTGACCAAGATGGATATTGATGAAAAATATATTTAAAAAATTCAAGAGCAAAAGATAAATAGTCTAGCTATAGTTATTAGACGAAACTATTTTGCTTGATGATGAAAGTTGAAACCTGAGCCCTAAATGACAAAACTCTAGTACTCCTGCTAAAAAAAAAAAAAAATAAAAAAATAATAATAATAATACAAATTCTGGTTCTCCTGCTAAAAAAATTTAATGAAAATCAATTTTTAGCAAAGTTGTTAACCCCTATAAATTTATATATTTAACTAAAAAATATTTGTTGGCTTGATGTGGCTTGCATGTTTAGTTTTTTAAACAGAAATTATAAATGGATAAATAAGCCATTAATACTTCTCGAATATTTAAATAAAGAGAATTATGCTAATTTAACTGGCAAGTATAACAATAGTTATAATAAACAATATATGC